GCCATCTGACACCTGGGCTACCAGGTTAGGTATGTTATTTTCCGGTACAGCTTTGAATATCTATGCAACTTTGTCGCAGGATATCATATGCAATCATAACCCACTTAAGAAGGCAATCCTAAAAGCTTACCAAAAGACCACAAATTCTTATAGGAAAGATTTCAGGTATGCCACTTACAGCATGGCCAAAACTGTCAACAGTTGCAGGTTACTCTCTATCGTTTGTTCAACTTTTGGATAGAGAGCTCAGGAATTGATCACAGTTATGAATTTCTTAGAGACTTCATAGTTGCTGACCAGTTCCTGACAGCTCTTCCCCACCAGATACGAATATTCATTAGAGAACGTAACCTGATTAAAGATGAGGAAGTTGCTGAGGCCGCTGACTTGTATGCTGAGGCTCACAATTCCTATAAAGACCTAAAGGGATCGATCCCTAAAGGCAGTGGTTCACCTGAACCAAGGGTTAAGAAGCCTACAGTAAGAAAAAAGTCACCAGCTTTTATACCAACATGTCATCGGTGTGGTGGTATCGGACATAAACGTCCAGGTTGTCCTTCCAAGAAAATGGAGAAAGTTGGCAAATGTTTTGTTGCCGGTAATGACCAGGCATCCTTCTGTTCGGGAACAGTTAATGGTATAAAAGTCTCAGCCATATTACGTGGCACTGGATGTACGTGCATCGTAATTTCGGACAAACACTTCCCTGACTTTAAAACCTCTCATGTGTCCTCTATTCTTTCAGACTACTTGGGCCGTGAAAATACTTTTCCTACAATACGATGTTACTTGAAAACTAAATGGTTCACAGGTTGGACTAACGGGGTACTAGCCCCAATTACTACTAGTTCTATAATAGTGAGTAACGTTAAAGGTGCCGTTCTTCCTTCAGAGGCGGATCTTTCGTCACCACCAGTGGACCTAAGTTTTCCAGCTCCTCTTCCTTGCAAGTTAAATAAGCCCCTTAACAATTCTGCACCGGAAGCTGCATTGTCTCCTATGGTTCATTTGGGGGTAGAAACAGATGATACTGCTCTCGATAGTGAGGTAGCAGGATCACCTGTTCACTCGTCGGGTGAAAGTAAGAGTATTACCTCTGGCACTCCCAATGTCTAGACTCGGGCTCAGACCAAAGCCCAGGCTTCTCCTGCCTCTTCTCCCACCGTAAGTCCTTTCATTTTCCCAGATTTTATGTCCAAGGATGACTTTGTCAATTTACAGCGGGATTGCCCTTCACTTCGGGATTGTCATAATCAAGCTTTTAACAACAAAGTTATCCACGGGAGATACGTATCACATAAGTTTGAATATATTATTGGTATCTTATATAAATCTGTATTTAAATCTCATTCTTCAGCGATAGATTATTCCCTCCTTGTTGTTCCTAAACCATGTCGAGAGGCTGTTCTTCAAATGGCTCATGATTTGCCAGTGACCGAACACTTGGCCCATCGTAAGACGTGGCATAAACTCAAGCACACTTATTTTTGGCCAAGCATGCACTTACAGGTTACAAAGAAGTATAGTTCTTGCAATAGGTGTCAGGTGCTTACTGCACAAAATACACACACTCCTAGTTCCTGTATATTTACTAAATCTAAAACTTCCCTCCTGCAGAAACGAGATACTCCATGTTACAAAACATGCGATATCTAATAATGATAGAGATCTCCAGTGAATACTAGAAAGGACTGCCCTTCTAGCATCCAGCCTGTTACTGGGTTTTTGTAACAGGTAGTCAGTATCCTGATCCAATTATCCATTAGAATTTAGTAAGATTCAATAATGCTTAAGGATTACAACTGTTAGGCTACTAACTAAAGAGATTAAAATTTAATAAGTTTATTAATAACAATAAAGTTGTCTAGGTGTATATTATCAAAGTAAATTAAATAAATCAAATGAATTTAATATAAGATACAAGTTCCTAGACTTCTCTGGTGTACAGTAGTATTGTGCTGAAGGCACCTATCACATCTTTATGGCTTTTAAGTACCGTCTGGTACATTGTTAACATTTAATAACATAATACAAATATATACAAGTAAGTTTGTGTGTATGTGTGTGAGTGCTCTAAGTAGTTTGCCATGTCTCAAGATTTGACTAGACTTAACCAGTGACTGACTAAAAGTCCTCACATAAACTAACTTCTTGACCAACCTGGCAATCAGAACAGCTTGCTAGAACAATAAAACGACTGATAAGCCAAAGAACCAACATAACAAGCAACAGCGACACAGAATCAGAAACAAGGAGATAATATTACGACACTAAGTAGGGACCATCTGCAGATCCTCCACAAAAGTCACAAAACTCCCATACTACTGAATCTAAGTTCAGCATTAGAAAATCCCTGACTGTGACAGTACACAGATACCAGTACAAATTAGGTCAGAGGCTACAGCTCAGGACCTGAGTTTCTCAGAATGTCTATGCGACACACAACCTCAGTACAACGTCGAAAATCACTAAGTCTAGGCAATGTTCTGTGAACAGAGTTACACAGAACCAACAAAAAGAAAATGACAGAGATGATCTTCCAACAAGGGCCATCAAGGGAGAGTTGGAGAGGCCGTCTTGCTGGAAGGCACGCCAAACAGACAATAGCTAGCGCAGGCCAGCTCGACTCTCACTCCTGGTGAGGTGTGATCACCCCACCCTGATCACGTGACTCTCTGTGGACTGCTGCTGCCCAGCAACACAGAAGCTGGCAGCGAAACAAGCAAAGTGAAAACTACAGTAGTTAGACAATGCTGTCAGCTACTTAACACTCGAACTATGAGCACTGAATAATATATAAATGTTACATCCTACCTAATAATATAAATAAGTCAAATAATAATATAAAGCAATATATTTACGATTTAGCTAATATCTCAAATATAAGCAATATAAAATGATATGAACAGGTAATATACATATATACATTGTGACCCATTCAGGGGTCACAATACTCCACCATACAGAAGGGATGTTTAGCCCTCGTGTGGGGTATCTCCAAACTTAAATTTTATTTTCAGGGTAAAGAATTCATTTTACAGACTGATCACAAACCTTTGATATACCTAGAAAATTTTAAGGGAACCAACAGTCGCCTCTTGAGGTGGATATTGGCACTCCAAGCTTTTAAGTTCCATATTGTGTATATCAATGGTTCAGCCAATTATTTCTCTGGTTAAGTTGTGACAGTAGAAGATTTGGTACCTTACGCGACTTTCCCGGGTTAGAACTTTTTCCTCATCTATTCTCCTTATATTCCTTGACTATAAGTCTTGGTATGGGGGGGTGTGAGGGGAAAGTTCAACAGATAGGAGTAGCGAGCGAATATATGGTGATGATAGTTTGATTGCCAGTCTGCTTGTTAAGGTAGGGTCAGTGTCTAGCTCCTGCTATCCCTCCCCTTTTTTCCACCTGGAAAGGTGACGTGTGGGGCTCTGGCCAAATGGATGAGTACTTGACTCATAGATCCCAACACGACTCTTGGAATGTCAGCTTGGGTCATCTGGCAACTACAGAGACAGTGCTGAAGGAGACGAACTTCACATGAGTTCTGGCTCGTCACTTTTTATCTACATACCTGAGTGTAGCCAACCCCAGGCAACTACCCCTCATCTTTGCAGTGGTGAAAGACCTGCATTTCTATCATCTTGACGGATTATTCAAGGCTAGAGACACTGTGACGAACTAGTCTGAACTAGTCGTTGGGTTGTCACTCAACAGCTGTGACCCCCCACATCATCAGCAAGGGCTACAATTTCTACAAGGCATGGTGTCAACATCAACCAGACACCCCAGCTTTACTGTACACATTAGCGTTGAATTCAAATATTTTTATATTTCATTTTTCATTTCTCTTTCACGTAGGATAAAAGTTCATATTTAAATGTTTTATATTTTCAATTATAACAATAAAGTGTTTATATTTGCATGTTATTATTCTTTTTCTATTTATTAATTATCCTAAGGAGGAGCCAGCCTTGGTAATACCTACTTAAGATCTTACAGGGCTGAGTAAGCCTTCACAGTTAGGTTAGATTAGGTTAGATCAGGTTAGGTTAGGTTAGGTTTGGTTAGATCAGGTTAGGTCTAGGTTAGCTGTGTTGCGACCAGCATCCTGCTAAATAATGGTGCTCACAGTCGCTTCTTCACGCTGAAACCATTCAGTGACTCGCCAGGTTGAGGGATGCCAGTGACTTTATTCCTGTGACTTTTCCCTGGATCCATATCTCTCAGTGTACATACAGGTGTATGTCTCAGTCTGTATACACTGACAGTTTGCTTTACTACCTATTTTAGGGATTAAAGTGTTCTTGACTGGTGAGGAACAGGCGATATGCAGCTTTAACTCCTTTTTGAGTAGTCAGTAGGCTTGAAACCCAATTAACCATCAACAGAGGATCGGCAACTGCCAGCTGGCGATCCTCTGTTGTTTGACTAGAGTGCTGAGACCCAGATCTTGTAACCCAGGGGATGTTAAACCACTTACGGTTATATTTGGCATCATTCCTAACAAATAAACCACCATCCCGTCAAGCTTAAGAGTTTTATGCAATTGCTTTAAGTGGCAGTGTTGAAGGGAACAACATCTTAGTATAAAAACCGAAGATAATTTGTTATAAGCAACTGTCGCTGAGTAAACACAAGAATGGAACGGGGGACTCGAACCGTGGTCCTGACATGGAGCAGTGACCCTGCCACTTGTCAGGACCACGGTTCGAGTCTCTGTCTATTCTTCATTTTTATATTGAGATATCTATTGGATGCGTTAGCCAGTCCCTCGCATTAAACTTTTATTTTCAGGTAAATAAATTGTGTCTCCTGGTTTCAATAAAAAAGTTTTCGAAAATATATATATATATATATATATATATATATATATATATATATATATATATATATATTATTTTACTTATTAAATTAGTTAAAGGTGGTAGTTTGGGTGTGAGGTGCTACATGTTTGGGGATACTGACCCAGGATATTACTTTCTCTTGTTACACAGGCGTCTAGCAGCGCGACCGTGTGTGAAGTCTGGTCACAAGAGGTCAGTGCTGAAGGTCAGGTCACCTCACTAACCTCTCATGCTCACCACTTGCTCTCACTCATGTCCCTCACCATACTACAACATTCACTCTCAAAGCCTCACTACTCAACACATGATGCCTTTCCTCGTTGTAAATTCCTCACCACATTATCCCATTACTCACTCGACTGACTACCACAACTCGCCATAAGTAACTGCAGCAACCAACCTAACCACTACCACCTCTTCCCTACCAAAACAATTGATCACCCATCTCAACCGTCTCCACGCCACTCTCCACCATCATCACCACCACCACCACTATCACCACTGCGTATAACACCACTAAAAACAAATTGTGGAGAGGGCATGTTGTTTGTAGGTGCACTGATCCCCTCTTGCAACACTGTGTGTGTGTGTGTGTGTGTGTGTGTGTGTGTGTGTGTGTGTGTGTGTGTGTGTGTGTGTGTGTGTGTCATCATGCATGTAAGCGCATGTACTTCCGGCATCATGCCGCAGCTGTCTCTGCACGTTTTTAAAGGAGATTCCAGCCATTTTTAAGAGCACTTGTATGCACGTTATCTAATATACATATTTTTTTCATATTTTTCAGATGTTTTGCTAGTATGAAGTCGATTAGCTAGCAGACTTATTTCAAACTGCATTAATTAATTGTTGCTATTTTGGCATTGGCTCTCTTTTTTAATAGCAAATTAGAAAAGGCCTCGCTAACAGTGGACCATAACTAGTGTGTGACTCCAGAATTAGTAAAAGCTCTAACGATCTCAACTTGGAAAATTGCCGAGCTCTTGTTAGGTCTGTTTAGGTGCAGTTTTCAGGTAACCACCTGTGCACCTGTAAGCAGGTCATCAGGTAACCACCTGTGTACCTGTAAGCAGGTCATCAGGTAACCACCTATGTAAGTGTAGGCAGCAGGTCTAGGTGTGATGTTTCTGTTTACTATGAAATTCAGACAGACTTCATAGAATTCTTAGATACTTTTTCTGTATTTTCTTTCTGTATGTATATTTATGTTAATTACTTTTTTTTACCTTCTGTCTCTGTATTTGTCTCTAATTATTTTGCATTTTATTCATAGTTCTAATGAGACATTATCCTTCTCTCACAGATAATGTGAAGTACTATTTTCGTAAATGGCGATGCCACCTTTGTAAAGATTATTTAATAATCACCTGTCGTGTGTAGTTTGTGTTGGTCACGTCTAAAATCGGAGCTTTGGGGGTATTTTGTTTAGCTAGTGCTGCCTTAGATCCCTGTACAAGTTAATGTAACCTTTGCATTTTAAGACACTGTATAGGTTATATTATTATGTCTGATGTTTGAATCCTTGGGTATGTTAATCACTTTTTTTTTACCAGTACTACTTGTGGTTATTTATTGCCACGTTCCCCTGACCTGCACTACCGCATCACCTTGACCTGATCACCAGTGAAAAATTAGACACATCAGTGGCATGTTACCTTGATCGTCACTGCCACATTCCTCAGCCCTACACTTGCACTGTACTTTGACCTGCAGTGGCACATTTTCTCCACCTGCACAGCGGTATCACCTTATCCTGCAATACAACGCTCTCTTAATCCTGGCTCTCACTCCTACATACCCTTAACCTGGCTCTCAGTGCTATATCCCCTTAACCTTTCCATCATTGATACATCCTCTTCACCTGTACCTCACTGCTACATCACCTTGACATTCATTGCTGCATCACCCTGATCTGTGGCTACGTCCCATCCCTCACTCTGCTGTAACACTACAACACTACTCTTGTAACATTGCAACACTCCTGCTGTAACACTGCAACACTCCTGCTGTGCTTGACTCTAGGATTCTCCGTGGGCAGGACCCAGCTGTGGTGCGCCAGCGAGCACTTCGACAACACTCCTTCTTCCAGTTGCACGTCCACCTGAAGCGTGGGGAGGATCTGGTGGCCCGGGACGCCTGCGGTAAGCTCCTCCTCACCCAGTACTCATCCTACCAGTCAGGAGACACCGCCAGAGCAGGTAGTGACCCATGGTGTGTTGTGTGTGTGTGTGCCTCCTCTCAGCTGTAACCAAGCAGCGAGCACCGGTGAAGAGTACAGCATGGATCTTTTCAAACACCTCTTTGTTAAACAGAGCCCAGAATCTCTCCAAGATCCGCGCAGTAATCCATCTCCCACTCCGTCTCTTCCCCAATAATTTTTTTATTTAATATCCTACCCTCCACACTTCCTTTTCCCTTACCATCCCTTTTCTTGTAACTGATATGAAAAAACACATCTACAGCACAATTTCGACGGCCAACATGGCGTTGAAACTGATCACAACTCGTAGCTGTGTGTTCGATCGTCGACAGTTACAAGACTAACGGAATGCAGATCTCTTGAGAGACTTTAGCCTCTGGGTGTGACACAACTTGCCAGCTCTCAAACCGTGGAAAGCGGTGACACTTAAGGTAGTCTTAGCCACACTTACACCTCAGTCTTAGACGCTGCTCTGGCTTGTGTAGATGATAGAGTAACCCTTGTTTTGTCATGAGGCTGCTGCTGGTTTACTTTCCTCTCTCGCCCCCAACACCTTCACTGTTGTCTCCTTCCCTCAGCTGCTCAACACTACAACAAGACTATAGGAATAACCTTTTGCAATGTTTCTTGGAATGATATAGTCAGCCTTGCCTAGTAACCTCCAGTGACGGAAGTGATAGGTGCTGGTAGAGCTTAGGAAATCATGATTATAGACGCAAATTATTATCACAAAATGTGCTAAACCCGTACGAACAGTGCAGCTAGATACTTCTGAGAGTTGATTTTATGGTAGCAGCTTGGATCAAACTCGATTACCTCCCATTTCCCAGGCTCTGTGTTCTCTACAGGCTTAGCCCCTCCCCGTGAATATAGAAATCATTATGGTAAAGTCGGCCTCGCCTTCCCCAGCCCAGCCAGAGGTATCAAACCTCAGTCATACACAAATAGTAACAAAGATTATAGTAAGTGATCAAACATTTAAGAAAATTATATATATATTAAAAGTTGAATTTCATTTATGCATATTTTTGGCATGCATTTGAATATGCGAAGATTTTTAGAATATCTGGCATTTACTTGAAAGTACCCCATGATTTTCTAAACAAAAAAAGACTTTAATTCAATAATTCTTTAATTTACTAGTCGAAATATTCATCAGAGGAGCTGAAAATAATCGTTCATGTCAATTTCAACAGATTAAATAAGCGTTTATTTCAATTGTACGAGTGAAAATTCCCCATAAGGACGGAAAATAAAACACTAAAAAAAAGAAGAGAGAAAACTGCACATTTCCGCGTCAAGCCACTCTCTTCAGAAGATAAGACTTATTATCCACTGAAGAAGATCCCTGAGTAAAGCCGAAGCATCCACATAGTTGGGATTTACCTGCTCGTTGGTCAGTATTTCACACATATAACAATCATTTTACCCGTTGTTTCACCACTTAAAAAATGAGTAAATCTAATTTAGAACGTCAGATATATACACCCACTGATCCAACCTATGATAAGAATGACAGAACTGGAAACAGCAAGTGTTATTTATATATTAATCATTATCAGTGCGCTAAGATAATCGGAGAATCTTGAACTGAAGTCCTTATCCCATCTGCAGATATAACCCAGATATGGATACACAAAAGGCCTAGTTCCCTGTCCATTTGTGTATCCACATGTTCTTGCGCTACCGTCCACAGGATGAATGTGGAGTGCACAATAAACTAGCCACTTCGGTGGCAAAATCTAAATCATCTGAACACTCACTAATTTCCAAATTCATCGTCCAAAATTTAGACGTGAAAGTGATGGGTACAGCTCGGATATCAAATAATGTTTCTCCTTAACTATATTACATTAATAATACAAAATTCGTCACGTGTACCGTAATTTCCCCTCTCCGTCATGACCGCATACGTCAGGTGACGCAGGAGGCAGAGAAAACATTTCTTGTAACAGTGATCTGAAACTCGAAATTTTGATGAAAAGAAACCCGTTTTTCAGTGTTATTTTTATGTGAATATTTGACTGTAACATATAGTAAAAATAAAAATAATAATGTGATAATGATAATAATATGTGATAATAGTAATAATAATAATACAACAATAATAATAATAATAATAATAATAATAATAATAATAATAATACAACAACAACAACAGTAATAATAATAATAATAATAATAATAATAATAATAATAATAATAATAATAATGATAATAATAATACCAGAAAATGTCATCGAAGAAAAAAATGTAAGTACCCGTGGGATGAGGCTAGAATTTACAGATATGTAAATCAAACTTCTTGAAGCCTCGTCTCTGGGAGGAGACGGAGAGGCAGCGGTGACTTAATGCTCGCCGAGGGCTCTTGATTCGAGAAAATAGAGCTTCCCCCCCCTCTCCTATTAAACAAGATTACCTTCCATCCCTTTTACCCCCATCCCTCCCAGGGTTCTGTGTGAGCCCTACGGGTTTAGCGCCCCTCAGCCTTGATGCAATAATAATGATCATAAATCGAGACAAAATTTTAAAAGAGGTGTTAGCCTAGTGCATTTGTAGACTAGACGCATTGCATGTGCAGTCTTTTACATATGCATCCTCGGCAATATTAATTATGTGTATGCTAGAATAATGCAGAGTAACTGTTGGTTGTTCATAGTATATTTGTGTATATTCATGAATAATTCCTTTACTTAGAAAAAATGTTTTTGGTATTCTCTTGGCAAGTGGCGGGATATTGACACTTGTAATTATTTTAGTCAGTTAATTTTTGTTAGTAGTCTAGTTTTAAACCTAAGAAGGTACTGTCTATGAAGGTACTAACAAAGTACTGTCTGAAGGTACTAAGAAGGTACTGTCTATGAAGGTACTAAGAAGGTACTGTCTATGTAAATATTAAGAAGGTACTGTCTATGAAGGTACTAAGAAGGTACTGTCTATGTAAATATTAAGAAGGTACTGGCTATGAAGGTACTAAGAAGGTACTGTCTATGAAGGCACTAAGAAGGTACTGTCTATGAAGGTATTAAGAAAGTGCTGTCGAAGAAGATACTGTGTGTGTGTGTGTGTGTGTGTGTGTGTGGTGTGTGTGTGTGTGTGTGTGTGTGTGTGTGTGTGTGTGTGTGTGTGTGTGTGTGTGCTCTTCTAACCTCACATCGCCCCTGCAAGTGGTGGTGGTGTACCTTGATGTCAGTAAATGGTTCTTGATTCAAGGAATTGGAGTCAGCCCTTCCCCTTTCTTGGATCAAACCCGATTTTCTCCTGTGTCCCAGGAGCTATATGACCATTACGGCTTGTTAGTGCTTACCTAGGATGATAATGGTGAAGATTGTACTTTGTACCCTTCAGTAACTCCAGCTTCTCTCTCTCTCTCTCTCTCTCTCTCTCTCTCTCTCTCTCTCTCTCTCTCTCTCTCTCTCTCTCTCTCTCTCTCTCTCTCTCTCTCTCTCCACTCTCTCTCTCTCTCTCTCTCTCTCTCTCTCTCCACCTGTATCTAATTCGTATCTCCGTGTCTGCTCTCACTCGGACCGTTGAACCACAGGCACCAGTGATCCTTACGTCAAGTTCAAAGTGCAGGGAAAACTGGTGTACAAGTCGAAGACAGTGTACAAGGACCTCAACCCGAGCTGGGACGAGAGCTTCACCGTCGCTATTGAGGACCCCTTCGAACCTGTTATGGTTAAGGTGGGTGTGAGAAAGGATTTTTTTCTTTTTGAAGAGGGAGGGAGGGAGGGTTCAAAGAGGAAACGGAGGGAATAGTAAAGGAATGAAGTAGGGACAAGAGTGCTATTGAATCTAGCCTATGACTAGAAAAATGACCATGTAAACACAACTCCCGTTATTGCTCAAGCAGGGGCCTTGAAATTTCTTAATATATCAGAATAAAAATATATCTAAAAGAATAAAAGGCACAATACCTGGACTGGAACAATACACAAATAACCAGCACATACGAGAGAGAAGCTTACGACGACGTTGTGAGACTTTGTTAATGGTCCAAGGCGGACCGAAGCGTCGTCGTAAGTTCTCCTATATGCGGGTTGTGTAAAAATATACCTAGATAAAGACAGGAAATAAACAGACAATTAGGTACACTATAACATTAGAATGTGAGCTCTAACACCTTAATTAACTATAGGATTCAATTGTGCTTTCATTAAACAGTTGTACGTTGTCTTCTGGTGGTTCAGGTGTTCGACTACGATTGGGGTCTACAGGACGACTTCATGGGCCTCGCCTCCATAGACCTCACTACCCTCGAGCTGGACAAGTGAGTCTTCCGTCTCACCTGTGACTATAGGTTTAACGCTCACTCATGTATGTAATGATTCTCGTGTGATGTGGCTCACACTAAGTGTGCCTGCCTGTATGTACTGTGCGGAGGTCGAGGCTCAGCTCCTGGCTCTACCTCTTAGTGTGAAACAGAATTATTTGGTGATTCTGGTAGCGGGTGAGTGAATGATACGTCTTCGGAGGCTTCTTTACTTTATTTGCAATGTCGTGGTGGGTACACAGGCTTGTGTATTGTGCCCATGGCCCAGGAGGGCCATGCTCACGAGGGAGAGAGCGAGTAGACTTGTTGACTGCTTCTAGGCCGCTGAGTAAGTGAGCAAGTGGAACCAGCGTCCCACTAACCTGGGCAGCACCTGAGTGCCGCGAAATATGAACTAAGCTGGCAGACAGCACAGGCTGTCCGTGCAGACAATACAGGCTGTCTACATTAGTTTCGTCCCCGGCATTACTAGTTGCTGGCCTCTTGTGCTATAACGTACCCATTCTTAAAACTGTATAACAATTGCCTGTCCCACGAGGGAGCAATATCCCCAGAATCATTGCCAGGTATAACCACGTCCTCATCCAATTTATTTATGTTTTTCCACCTTAAGACTAAAGAGTTGTATCTTGAGCTCTTAACTACATCCCAGTGACCCTGGCTCTTGCACTCTAAATGGTTTTTCCGTATCTACCCTATTAAGCCCTCTTATTATTTTGTATATCGTTCATATCTCCCCTAGTCCTTCTCTCTGAGGTAGTCAGGTTTAGTTCCTCCAGTTTAATTTATGTGAAACGTTAAACCCGTGTGAGTTATTCAGCATAATGCGTGTTGAAGGCTTAATTTTCTATCCGCTAATCATTCAACCAGGCTGGCTGTTATACCTTGTTACTCGAGGATGGCTCGTGTTCCAAGGCATTGGAGTTACTTAAATTTCGAGAATCAAACCATATTGCTTACTGTGCCCTAAGTGCTCAGTCACCTCTGCGATCTAGCCTTTCATGGTGAATATTGTAATATCTGGGGTCGGTCTCATAGTATTTCTCTCAGCACAGGGTTTAGCCTGGTTGTTCCACGCCTTGACCGCCTACTCAGCCCTACTGGATGACTAGCCTAATTAATATACGTTGTCTACATCATCCTGGTGGATTCTTTAACCTGAAGAATTAGACACATGTCTAACATCTGGGTATGTTTATTATAGACGTTTTGCTGTCTAGTGCTTCAGTTTCTTCGAGACTACGGGTTCTCTTCACCAACTTCAAGGCTGAGTGACTATTGCCTTATCTTTTGTAAATAAGTAAGTTTATTCAGGTATACACTAATACAGTGACTTATTGCCACTGGGGTCCTTTTAATACCTTATTATTTTATTAGAAAGGAGATAATATCTTATTATTATACTATGAAAGAGATGTACTAGGAATAAGGTAACATGAGTTATTTATATTTACATGAGTGGAAGCTAAAAAAGTAAAAAATGAATGTCCTCCCTTTCTGTCGCTACATTTATCTGAAACCTTTTGACTCTCTTCCTGAACTGGTTCATGCTATGACTGGTTTTGACATGTGCAGGCAGTCTGTTCTATTCCTTTATTGCTGTACAATAAAAAGTGTTTGAAGCCTGGCCACTAACTGTGGGTACTACAAAGTTGTGTTCTCTCCCACTAGTACTATGATTGCTCTGGTTCCCAACCCTGACAAAATTAGCAGCAAGATATTCTGGACATTGTTTGTGAGCAGTTTTATAAACTTGATTTTACTTCAGTTGTTTTACTCCGTCTTCAATATTCAGAATATCTAATTGTTGTAATTCATCCTGGTCTACATACTCTCTTGGACCCAGGTCCAGGATGTATCTTACTATTTTGCTCAGGGTGATTTGCAGTCTATCTTTCAGTTTTTTTTGTCAAGGCAGACTACCATGAAGAGCAAGCGTAGTCCATATGACATTGTATAAGGGCTAGACATAAGGTCCTACGAGCCTCAGTAGGTACACACTGTGTTTGTTTGTAGAGGAACTTCAGTCTGCATTCGCTTTCTTTACTATACTGTTCCTTATCAATTCTCCTGACATGCATGGGTCAAAGGGGATTCGCAGATATTTTACTTTGGAAACTGAAGTGATGGGTTCCCCATTACACCTGACATTAAAATTATTTATCCTTCTCAGTTTATGTTTCGTGCCAAAGAGTATGTCTTCCGTTTTTCCTAGATGTAACGATAATTTGTTTTCTACTAACCATTTTCTGCAAGACTAAAGTTCAAGTGTTATTACATTAGCTATATCTTGTGGGTCTTTACCTGACACTAACACAGCACTGTCATTTGCATACAGTAGAAGTTTGCACTTGACACTGATGGGCATGTTGTTTACATAACATAGGAATAATAAGGGACCCAGACCACTACCATGGAGAACTCCACATGTTATCGGCAGGGGTTCTGATCTACTGTTTTCCCATTATGTCCTTGAATTTGTACTGATAAAGCCACTGGATGGCGAAACGTCTACAGTAAAGATACCCAGATGTTGCACATGTGTCTTATTCTTCATCTTGTCGACATTGTATACCATACGTATACATTGGATTCTTTTAGTCTCCACAACCCGCTGAAGTTAACGGTTGACCTACACCTCCGCAGATATGTTATCAAGAAAGTTAATCTCAGGTTCACTGGTTCATTCGATATTTGTAGCTCCTCTGTCTACGTGTACCTTTGCTTCCCCAGTCAGCACAACTAAAATATTTATTCAGAGGGAGATCCAACAGCCAATTATTTTACCTTTCCATCAACCTGTCCGTTGATAGTCATTCGTCATTTGTCAGCAATTACTCCTGGGTCTCTCTCTCTCTCTCTCTCTCTCTCTCTCTCTCTCTCTCTCTCTCTCTCTCTCCCTCTCTCTCTCTCTCTCTCTCTCTCTCTCTCTCTCTCTCTCTCTCTCTTTCTCTCTCTCTCTCTTTCTCTCTCTCTCTCTCTCTTCTCTCTCTCTCTCTCTCTCTCTCTCTCTCTCTCTTCTCTCTCTCTCTCTCTCTCTCTCTCTCTCTGAGCCACGTTTCCAATATTTCATCACAATTTACAATCATGTGGCCTATTTTTCACTTTTTCCAGTTTCCATTGATATCCGATATATTCTCTCCTCCGCTTCTCACTCCATGTGGTCACTAACTTTTGCGTTCATTTTTACTATGATTTTTGCGTCGTGTATATATATATATATATATATATATATATATATATATATATATATATATATATATATATATATCGTGCCGAATATGTAAAACTGGTCAATTAGCAAGAACTCATTTAAAATTAAGTCCTTTCTAAAAATTTTCTCTTATGCGTTTAAAGATATATTTTTTTCATTAATGTTAATGCAAAAAATTTTAATTTTGCTCCAAAAGAATCTTAGAAAACTTACCTAACCTTATTATAACAAAAACAATTTATTTTAGCCTAACCTAACTAAATATATTTTAGATTTGTTTACAATAATTTAATACTAAACAAACACAGTGAAATACATTTTTTTCGTTAGGTTCAGAATGATTTTGGCGAAATTATTGCATACACAAATTTTTGCTTGTCCTATATGGCAAGATGAACGTTGCTATTTAAGCCAAGATCGCAAGTTCTGCCTATTCGGCACGACATAATATATATATATATAATATATATATATATATATATATATATATATATATATATATATATATATATATATATATATATATATATATATATATATATATATATTGAGGCAAGGTAGTTAACATAAGTGGTCGTTGCTGTGGTGATTGAGGTGGTTATGATGGTGGTATAAGTAGTGTTGGTAGATATAGTGGTAACCGTTATGGTGGGGTAGATGTGGTTGTGGTGTAGGTGGTAGAGGCAGTGGCGGTGTTGATGGTAATTTTATTTCTTGTTGTGTAGTTGTGGTTATAATTGTGGTTGCTTTAGCTGTGGTGGTAGTTGTGGCCTTTTTATTTATAGTGATGCATGCAGACTTTTGGGTGAGATTATAGTGGTTGTGATACAGAAGTAGTGGTTGTTACAGTTATAATTGTGGTTATAGTTCTAATTAGTGTGGAGGTTGTGGTTAGTTGTAGCTGTAAAGGCAGTTGTTTGTGTTTATGGTCACTGGGGTGCATACCACTATACTGTTAATATGCTCGAGGTGACAACGTATAACATACACGCACGCTTCTCGGTGTAATAATGTAAGTGCTGCTTAATGGGGAAGTAAAATGTGTATCTAAACTTACCAGAAAATTGATGCTTTGCTGTCTGGAGGAAGAAAACCGTAAGCATATCCTTAATAACTATTATTCCATTAGCGTAGGCTTGACTTACTTTCCCCAGTTCTTGAGTTATTTCATAAAACTACTACGGTTTGTATGACGTACTTTCGCCAGTTTTTCGGCTCTCCTCCATGGGCGAACTTAAGATCTCACGAACCTTCTCTGACTTCTTTTCCACGAGCTGGTGATGGAAAGACGATCGATCTTAGTGAGAGGGAGATCTTTCCTTTCCCGTGAGGATGGACTGTCAGTTGTGAGATGCTCAAGCAGGCCCAAGGCACACTAGACTAAGAGAAGATGGAGATCTTTTGAATGGACTCAGTAGGGAGAAGAGAACCACTCATTTTCAGCGTCCTTCTGAAAGACGTGTGAGAATGAGTTTCGATGGGTGTCAATGGACGGTAGTTTTGGTATTTTGTTTGTCAGGAGACATTCCCCCACACACTACTCAACCTCACCAAGGCTACAGAGTTATCTTGTTCACTACAGGCCCCAGGACGTGGTGTTAGCGCTCTCAGAGGCTGGTAAATCCACTTACATGGGACTCCTCCACCTAGGCCTCACACTCCAGCCCAAAACACAAGAGGAAAAGGAGCAGGTAAGTCTAAGTACCGTCGCTTTTGGGGACTACAAGTTGAAAGCTGATCTTCAGCAAGTAAGGTAAGTGAAAGGTTCAGTGACTGACTTTTTTATTGAATGACAACAAAACCTTCGGATATATTGTAGGCTAAGGTAGGTGTTTTTATGTTATCTGACGTAAGAAGCCATTTCCATAGTAATCAGGAGATAATGCTTGACACTCAGCTATTACACCATAATATACAATTAGGAATTTAAGGTACTTGAAGAAAGAAAAGCGAAGATTTTTTTTTTTTGTAAGTTATAAAGACCCCAGTGGAAAAAAAATTCTCCAGTTTTTTGGTATCCCAGATAATTTACCTGTATGCTGCCATGTAAAAATATTATAATCATCTGAAATTGTGTAATTGTACATAAACGAACTAATTTAATTACGTACTTACTAGTGTTTGATGTACCATGGAGAAGTGAGAGTTACTGCTGAAATATGCAACTGCATCACAGAAAATGGACTTACTTGGTGAAAGAGAAAATGTAATTTATGGGACACTAAAAGAAATTGCCCCTGGACGTCGATCGTCATGTTTTCTCACTAAAAATTATAGTTAATTGTAGAATCATAGCGACAGTCACCTCTTTTGTGTATGCCTGAATAAACTTACTTATAACACCTTGCAAACAAATCAGAACGGATAAGGTTCAAACCTGTGACAAGATGGAGGTGTTGAAGGTAGGGGAAGGTAGAGGTATTGATGGTAGGGGCAGGTGAAGGTGTTGAAGGTAGTGTAAGATGGGGGTGTTAAAGGGGTTTTAGAGGAAGGTGGTGTTGAAGGAGGGGAATGTAGAGGTGTGAAGGTGGGGAAGGTGGAGGGGTTGAAGGTGGGAAGGTGGAGGGTTGAAGGCGGGAAGGTTAACAAAACTTTCGCCAAAGGGAAAGGCCCCTGGATGGGTTTTCGCCAGGGGGAAAACTCGTCACTGGTCCCGAAGGAGAGTCGACGTTTATACAAGTGTGTGCGTTTACAGCCCTTTAGCGGGGCACCCCTTTGACAAGTCCAGTGAGTAGCGTTACCCCAAATGGGGGGCAGCCCTATGAAAGGCACAGTGAGTCTTTTCACAAAATGGTGTGCAGACCCCCTGTAGTGGGGTCGCACGTCATGGGTTAAAGTGGTCGAGCCAGTGGTCGTTGGTGGAAATCTCCAGCCCGCAGATCGTTGCTACCTTCCCCACTCACAAAAGAGTCGTAGGGAAAGCAGGGGTTTTGGGCGCAGGAGGAGACAGGTTAAATATCTGTGGTATTTCGGGGCCCGGTGTTCTGCTGGTAGGGAGCTCTCACACTAAAATTTTTGAAGGGCCTTCCCCGGGAAAGGAACGTAGTGTCGAGGGGAGCCCCCCCCCCCCCCCCCCCCCAAAAAAAATTTAAAAATATAAAACAAAAAATAAGATAGACGCGAGGAAAAGGTAATGAAGGAAGGGGGAGAAAGTTTTAAAGGGAAAGGGGGGAGGAGGTATTGAAGGGAAAGTGATATGGGCGTTGGGGGAAGAAAAGAAAGGAGGGGTGAGTGGCAGGGGGTGTTCACTAATTTTTAGGTTTCGAGTTATGAAGAGTGAGCTTTTGTATCGCCTAATTGTGGTTAAAGGTCGATTCATAGTCCGGTGTGTGTGTGTGTGTGTGTGTTGTATTAGAGAGACAGGACAGACAGACGACGGGAGAGAGACAGAAGAGGCTTACCCCCCAAAAAACCCCTCCCCCCCCCCCGTTTGATTCCTGTCGTCGTATGATCTGGATTCAGAAGGGTGGGGAGAGAGGCCCCCTGTTTCCTTGTCATGGCTTTTTAATTGGGAAAAAATTTACCAGAAGGAATGCGTAGGGGGGTCCCCCGTGTTAAAAGTCACGCTCCCCTCTGCAATCCTGTGCCCTTTTGCCTGTTTCGAGTTGTGATGTCACGCTGACCTTGCCCCTGCCTCTGCGTCAACTTGTGGTTTTACCGAATAGGTGGTGTTATCGAGAGGGGAGGGGGGGGGGGGGTAAGTGTTAACAAAGGCAACTTTTTTTTGGGTTTAAATGACAATGAATCCCCCGATAATATTTACTTTTTGGTAAAAACACGCATACAAAATTAACTTTGTTATTTGTTTGGGTTTAATTTTTTTTTTTTTTGTAATGATACCCCTCAGTTTTCAAAAAAAAAATTTGTTTTTTTTTTTTCCTTCCTCTCTGTTCCGTTTTTTCTTTTCCTATTGTCCTAACTCCTCTTTCTTATCGTTTTCTTCTCTTCTCTTTTTCTCTCCTCTCTTCTTCTCTCTTCTTCTCTCTTCTCTTCTCTTCTCTCTCTCTCTTCTCTTTCTCTCTCTCTCTCTCTCCTCTTTTTTCAATTTTGAAAGCACCACCAGCATGATTTGGAAAAAAAAGTAAATCCCCCCTGGGTTAGGTGACGAGGCTAGGCGGGGAAAGAGTAGAGGAAACGGAATGTTTTTTATTTTGAGTTTTGAACTCCCTCGCAAAAAAGTTTCTGACAAAAAAAACCTACAGATGTTTCTGACACATCCTCACAGAATTTTCTGACACATCCCCTCACAGAAGTTTTGACACACTCCCACAGATGTTTCTGACACACTCCCTCAAAAATGTTTCTGACAATCCCTACAAAATGTTTCTAACCTCCCTCACAGAATGTTTTCTGACACACCCCTCACAGAATGTTTCGGAAAATTTCCTATAGAACGCCCAAAAAACACTCCCCTCACAGTCGTCATGAACCCCCTACAGAACACCCCGACACTCCCTCACGGGGAACGCACTGGCACACCCCATACGGGGAACGTCACTGAACACCCCCTCACAAAGTCACTGACCACTCCCTCAAGAACTCCTGACACTCCTCACAAAAACTTCACTATACACCCCCCTCACAAAAAAACAGACCACTCCCTCCAAAAAACTCCTGACACCCCCTCACAAAACGTCAATGAACACTCCCTAAAGAAATCACTGAACACCCCCTACAGAACGTCACTGACCCCACCCCCACAGAACCCCACTGCACACTCCCTCCAGAACGTCACTGACCACCCCCTACAGAAAGTCACTGACACACTCCCTCACAGAGCATCAGAACACTCCTCACAGCATCACTGACACATCCTCACAAAACGTCACTGCCACCCCCCTAAAAAACATCATGCCCACACTCCTCACAAAACGTCCTGCCCACCTCCCCCACGAACGCATGACAACTCCCTAAGAACGTCACTGACACCTCCCCCACAAAAACGTCACTGACCACTTACAGAACGTCATGACACACTCCCCCAGAACGTCATAAAACATCCCTCCAGAACGTCACTGACACACTCCTCACAGAACTCACTGACACTCCCTCACAGAAGTCATGAACACTCCCTCACGCATACTGACCCCTCCTCACGAACGCATGACACACCCCCTCACAGAACCCCCCTGAAACACTCCCCCACAGAACCCCCCCCACTGCACACTCCCCACAGAACATCATGCACACCCCCCTCACAGAACGTCACGACACTCTCCCCCACAAAAAACGTCACTGACACTCTCCCCCACAGAACGTACGGGGACATCCCAAGAACGTCCTGACACACTCCCTACAGAAACCATCATGACACACTCCTCCAGAACGCACTGACACACTCCCTACAGAACGTCACTGACACACCCCCTCACAGAACAAACTGACACTCCCTACAAAACGTACTGACCACCCCCTCACGAACGTCACTGACCATCCCCCACAGAAGTCATGAACTCCCCCACAAAAACGTCACTGACCACTCCCCCAAGAATCCTACACTCCCCCCCACGAACGTCACTGACCACTCCCACAGAACGTACTGACAACTCCCCACAAACGTCACTGACACTCCCCCCCACGAACGTCAGACACACCCCCCCAAGCGTCATGACACTCCCCCCCAAAGAAACGTCATGCACATTCCCCCACGAACGTCACTGACACTCCCCCCCACAGAACGTCACTGAACACTCCCCCACAGAACGCATGACCCCACTCCCACAGAACGCACGCCTCCCCCACAGAAGTCATGACACATCCCCACAGAACGTCACTGACATCTCCCCACAGAACGTCACTGACACACTCCCACAGAACGTCACTGACACCCCCCCCCCCAAGAACGTCACTGACACCCCCCCCCAAAAGAAAGTCCTGACACACTCCCCACAGAAGCACTGCCTCTCCCCCACAGAACGTCACTGAAACATCCCCCCACAAAAACGTCACTGACACCCCCCCCACAGAACGTCACTGACCCCCCCCCAAAAAGTCACTGAACACCCCCCCACAGAACGTCACTGAACTCTCCCCCACAGAACGCCCTGCACACTCCCCCACAGAACGTCACTGCCTCTCCCCCCAGAAGTCACTGACACTCCCCCACAAAATTTAGACACATCCCCCACGAACGTCATGACACACTCCCCCCAAAACGTCACTGACACACTCCCCCCAAAAAGTCACTGGACAAAACCCCCCACAGAAACGTCATGACACACTCCCCACAGAACTCACTGACAACCCCCCCACAGCGTCACTACACACTCCCCACAGAACGTCCTGACACACTCCCCCACAAAACGTCATGCACACCCCCCCACAAAAACTCACTGAACCCCCCCCACAGAACGTACTGAACACCCCCCCACGAACGTATGCCCACTCCCCTACAGAAGCACGCACACTCCCCCCAAAAAAACGTCACGACACATCCCCACAGAACGTCACTGGCACACTCCTCCAAAAAAGTCCTGACACTCCCCACAGCGTCCTGACAAACCCCCTCACAGAACGTCACTGACACACTCTTCACGAACGTCACTGAACACTCCCCACAAAAACGTCATGAAAACCTCCCTCGAACGTCACTGACACCCCCTCACAAAGTCACGGGACACACTCCCCCACAGAACGTCACGGGCACACTCCCCACAGACGTCACTGAACATCCCCACGGGGAACGTCCTGC